GAAATATTTGTATAAAACAAGAAAAAACGTTAACTTTGGCTGCACCGAAGCTAATATACCCTTCACAGGAGCATTTCTTTTAGTAACTATGTGTCCAGTTTGTATAGAAGCTATATGCTATAGTAATCCGATCTGAACAAGTTTTTCGGAGATTTTGTTATTACCTTAAACCATGTAAAATTTCGTGAGGATGCGAAAGTTTCCCTTGATTCTGATCGTTCATTTTGTATAGCAGCTATATGTTATARTGGTCCGATATCTGGAGAGCAACGGACTACAATGAGAATTACCCTTTTTTAAGGTATTTTGCTGCCCTCTTGATTTAAGTCCAACTTTTTTTGACCTTAGGTAATTCGATAATCGAGGTCCTTCTTCAGGTCAGAGCGAGTCGGCCTCTTCGTCGGCTGGGTTGGAATCCAGTCGATAGCATTCTATATAGCATATTATTTTATTCAATTCAAAATAGTTTCCTTCTGCTTCACTACAGGTTTTTGCACGGTCCAAAAGCTGTCGAACGAGTTTTTGAGCTCCTTGGCCGGTATGGTCGCCAGTATGCCAGTGCAAGCCTTTTGAATGGCCGCTACGGCTGCATCACAATTTCCTTTCGTGGGCCTTTTCGAAAAGGAAGAAGCCRCATGGTGCCATATCAGTTGAATACGGGAAGTGGTTAATGGTTAAAATGTGAGTTTTGGTCAAATAGTCGGYCACAAGCCTCGATCGATGAGAGCAATTTTTGGTTGTCAATCAATTTGTGCGGAACAAATTGTTCAAACAACTTTGGTAAGCCTAAATATTCGGTCAAAATGCGATAAATCGATGTTTTAGAGATGTTCAATTTCATTTCTATGAATTCCAATAATGATTTCGTCTGATTTTTTATGAATTCATGTACAGTTTCGCTGGAATTTCTCGTGTACTGTGCTMCGGGATAAACTTGCGCCATAAACTTGCTTCATCAATTGATACGTTTCGGAAAAAGTTTTACCAATTTTAAAACAAAACTAAATGTCATGAACGCACCAGTCGACATATAGATGGCGCCACCAGGGGGCGCTAGATTAAAAAAATTTGCTTTGGAACGCACCTTGCATGGTAGTGTAAACTTAACATTGGAATTGAATATTTATTTTGGTACGGTGTGTTATGACGAAAGAGCCGCACACCCCGCTGAGGGTGCCGATAGCTTGTTTTRCCTTCATTATACAGTTAGTGATGCCTTCGTTTGATCCTCCATTTACAGTTATAACACTTTCTAAGCAACAAAAAAATTTCACATATTCGAGTTCTGCACCTCCGAAGTTCTACTAAAAGTATAGGCGTTATTGATATATACAAGTATTTCTTTAGTTTTGCCGATGTTAATTCTGAGACCTACTTTCGCTGGAGTTTCTTGCGCATTTTTGGTGTTTTGTCCTCTCAGCAATGTTGTGTATATATCGTCTGCATAGTCTAGTTCTAGTTCTTCAGTCCCAGCATATTCCTTCCGTTTCACGCTTTTTCCAATACGGTTTTCAACAAGCGGAGGCARAACCCAGCACTGACAGACTCCCACCTCTATTTGTATTCGGTTACTAAGCTATTTTTCAAATATGCGGCACCTCGTGTCAAAGTATAACGCTTTTATTAATTCAATTAGTTTTGAGAGGACCCCTCTACAAACTAAAACGTTCCCGATTCCATGATGACGAAGTTCAATGAATTTCTTTTGGAGGACGATAAAGATCAGGCAGAAGGGGAGCGTCATTCGATTGATGTATCTTTGTAACCCGTAGGCTACGTACTTGGTCAATGCAGGGGCATCCCGGACGAAAGCTTACTCGGAAACAAAACGCTCGATTTACCTATATTCAATATGCTCAATTGCGTAATACCTCGCCAGTTTTACACTCTAACAGATCGTTCTTTCAGGCAGAATAATAATGGTAACTTCATTCAGCTCTAGGGAGAGATGTCAATTGGCTCATAAGTCTGTGAGTATGATGATGACGAACTGTGATTTCATAGTCCGCCTTTTAGAGTGCGAGTGATATGTTGTCTTGTCCAACTGCTATTGCTTTTGAGTGTTTTAATTGCGATAATAATTACCTTCGATGAGGAATATTTTTTTCTGCTTCAAATTATCTCAAATCCAAAGACCAAAGAGATTTATTATAACCATAGATGCATACATTTAATGGTTCATTTAATAGTCAACATTTTATTCTTTCCTTTTATAACTGGAAAATATATCTAAAACAGTAAAAAATGTCAAGCCGTTTCGAAAAATTTTCCTTATCGACTCGAAAAAAAGSATTTTGAGAAAAACGTKTTTAAGGTTTYAAAAGCCGATTACACTAATTCAGAAGATTCTTACAACTATTCCTAACCCGAAACTATTTGCCTAATCACAGTCTGATTTTTGAAGAATCTTATCAAATATCGATACATTCGATAAATTGCAAAATAATTGATTTCTCTAAATTCACAAGTGAATATGACTCTTTAAAAGTTGCTTATGTGAAGGAATGAGATATGATTGAACAATTCACAAMTGTCATAATAATTGTACCGAAAATTTAGCAAAGTTAATGGAATCTTCAGTTAATATTTTTGCAGAAACGAAGAACCTCTTTTTCGAAATAGGCCCAGAGTGACAAAATCAAATATTCAACTATTTCAACACAAAAAGGTTTAAAGTGCCTCACACCTTTTACACTTTCATAACTATTATTGTGCTCTTATTTGCGTTTTACGCGAAAAACTAATTGTCTAACACTTTCATCAAGTTGCATTTAACGCTATTGTTGCATTGCTCTTCGTCAGCTGGCGCTTATAGCAGACTGACCACAGTGCGAAACTAATTTCGCTTTTATTTCTTCGCTGCGATTTTTAATCTCTCGAAAAAAGTTTTCACTCTAACACAACTTCGTACTTTGGAGGGCTTCACGCTTTCAAAGCTGCTAATAAAAACTACAGAAAGAAAAGTCAAAAGAAAGACGAATAACACTTTGAGTAGCTGGATAAATGGCGAGAGCTGGAGCACTTACACAGCATTTGTGTTGCAATAACAAAATAAAATAAAGCAACAGCAACAACACCCACCAACACTGYAACACATGAGGCAAAGTTTTTGCTTTTAGTCCAAATCCTTAAAAGATCCTTTACACATAAAATTTAGTTCTTCTCATTTCAGRCGCACAACAAACACTCGCAATCGAGTTTATCGCACCTGCAGTGTTTAGTTGTTGTACCGCGTACAAACGAACTTGAAGCAAAGAAAACTACTCTGTTTGATGATTTTTGGCACATGAATGTACCACACTTTCAATATTTACAAATTGTTGACATACTTATATTTGTATCATAATAGGTATGAATTTCAGTGAACTGGATCATGAAATAAAAGCATTAAGGGTTTTAACTGATGTTTTGCTAGGTTTGAAAAGACTTGGCGCATTTTACGTCGAGATCTTAAATTAACAAGTAAGGAAGGGCTAAGTTCGGGTGTCACCGAACATTTTATACTCTCGCATGACAAAGTGATAATCGAGATTTCAGACTTGGTTGTGAATCGATTTCACCCATATTTGGTACATGTCATCAGGGTGTTAAGAAA